ATGCAAAATGTGCTTTCAGATGACCTATAATAATAATAAATATAAAGTAATTTAGTATGCATAATAATATATAAATTAATGCAATCAAGTATAACCCTTACTTTTGTGCATATAGTATACTTTTTCATAGAGTGTGTTTATATGCATGTGAGTAAACTCAGTATTGTTATACTCGTTATACCAAGTTACAGCAGTGTTGTACCATCTGGTGTAATCATCTGTTCCATAACAATGGTTACACAGTGATTGCCATTCATCAGTGTTATTTAAATTCATCATTGCTTGATAAGGACAACTATTCACAAGAATTTTAAACCATTGCACATCAAAGTGTTCAAGTTTGTTTACATGTCCATTAATTACATCAAATGCCTTTCTTTGCATATACACATCATTAATATGCCCAATATCTTGTTCAGCCTCTTTCTTATTCCCCAAACCTACATGTGCCACTAAACTTAAATACCAAGCATCATGATAAACCTTGTTTACTTCAATTGCTGTCTCAATATCAAACAGAGCTTTTCCAAAGTGTTTCATATTCAACTTGATTTTTGCTCTATTACACAATGCTGAATAATTTGTGGGATCAGCTTGTAGTATTTGTGTATCCAACTCATTATTCTCATATGCAGTTTTGGCTTTTTGAAACAATTTATCTATATTTGCTCTTGGTGTTGTTAATGATTTCCAAAATTCAGAATCAAACTTCCTCATTCTGTTCTTTCTTTTTTGTTTTTTAAGGTCATTATCATCACACTCATCAAATATTTTTGCATCTGTGTTATTTCCAGCATTAGCAATATAATTGTCTTGATCATCAATGTCTTTAATATAATGTTGAACATTGTTATATATTGTTTGCTGTGGCATATAACTTTTCACCTCAGAAGAACTCATTGGTAATGGTCGCAATGATACAAGATTTTTACTTGATTGGTGTTCTTGAAAAAGAGGTTTGTATTCGGTGCTTTTAGTTTCCAAGGCGTTTTTTAAGAGTTCATCGTAAAAGTCATTGAGGTGATTATGATGAGGTAGACCCGATCCGGTATGTACTTCTCTCTCTCCTTCTTCCTTCTCTTCGATATCATCACCAATATCACCGTCATCACCATTGTCGTCGTCATCGTTATCAAGTGCGATATCATTATCTTCTTCTCTCGCCTCTTCCTGTCGGACTTCGGCTAATTGCAATGTTGCAGGAATTTCGCTTGATTGACTATGATGAGGTACATCTGATTCAACATACGATTCTCTGTCCTGCGTTTTGTCTTCACAAGTCTCAACCTTCAACTGGCCATAGTAGCCAATCCTAGCACGATTACCCGATAAATTCCATTTGACATAAATATCTTCTGCTTCTTCACTAAACTCGTGCCGAATAAATATTGTTAGAGAACAAGCATACAACTAGCATGTTAATGGGCACATATAAGAGAAACTTACGGATATTTATGCCATTCAATTTCGAGAGAAAATCCATAAATGTTTGCAAAATATAGTGTTATAGCTACATCACATCTTTCCCCACTACTGTAGACTTCCCCATCAATTTTATATGCATCACTCAATAGCGGTTGAGAGAACTCGACGTGACAAAGATCAGCAAACTGGCAATCTATTGGTGATTCTCCAATCATAAGTATTTCTGTTTCATCGCTGAATAACATTTCGATCTTTGCAATTAAAGATTCATCTAGCAATTTATAAGTTGGAACAAAGTCGGCTCTTTCAATTACACTCCATTGACTAGATGTTCTTGGACCGTACTCTAACCATTCGCCTATTTTCCTATAGCATATTAAATATGTATTAAATTTTTGCTAGAAAAAAAAACAAAATCTCCTTATTCTTACTCGATTTTTACTAAGGAGTCGTCAGCAGAAAGTAAGTAGTTGCTCTTAAAGGGATGTATTCTCTTTGACCATTCAATGTAAATTTCATTGTATAGATCATTTTCGCAATCTTTTGAATAGTAGACTCCGAAATTAGCACTTTGGAGTTGTTGATTTCCAGTTCAATTAAAATTTGTCTAGCTCTCACCTATCCATTCTGTTTGACATAATTCGACATCCTTGTGATCGTCTTCTTCGGAGGCCTGAAATTGAGTAATACGTTGTAACCTGCTGCCCACTTTAATTTGGTAATTCATCCAATATCCGTAGTCAGAGAATACATCATCTAATGCTATATGCGGTGTGTTATGTTCAATCGCTTTCTTTATTGCTTCAACAAATTCATCGGTCGGTTTGACATCCTCACGTATAAGATTGATATTCCATAGTTCTTTGTCTATTCGGAAGATGACCGCCTTATCGAGCGTCCTTTCATACAAAGGATTGTTTTCTTTATAACGAGAAAATGCTTTCGGGGGATTAAAAAGAATGGCATCTTTATCAAGTGTAAGGTTATTTGCATATATAAAGGTATCTTGTATTCTGTGAGTATTTATAAGCCGTACAGAGGGTCTTGTCTTTGGCGATTCTTCGATGGACCAATTCGCTCTCACCGCACACTTATACGCAAGGCGCACACCGTCTTGATCAAACAGTAAACCGTGGCATAGCCTGAAATCCTCGACTATGTTAGCCATTTCCGTGATGGTAATCAAAGACGCAGGGTCTGATTAAGGGTAGGGTAGGGTAGAGCCCGATGAAGCTAAGATCTGCAAACAAGTTATAATTCTAACTTATAATTCTCTCACTAATTGATTTGCCTTGCATAAGAAGACTAGAATGGACACCATTTTTGATAAATTAAAATGGATGAATCCTAATCCTATCTTGGTTAATATAAATTTTCTCAATTGCCCACATTCGGAAGAGCCGAAAGCGACAAAATTAGATACGTCAATGACGCTCGAGAAAATCCGTGAGGTGCTCTCACAATGTGAAAATGGTGAATCCATCATGAAGTTCGATATGTACTTTTGTAACAGTGGAGGCTCGAATGTGATACGAAGGAGCGAAGAAACAACTATTTGTCTCTCCGAGATACTCGGTAACAACGACAATCTCTGGATTAAGCGAAGCGAGAAACTTGAAGAAGTAATGCCTCGTTTAATTAAAGAGAAAAAGTTAGATTGTGGCATTCGATGGACTGAAAATGCGCCAGAACAGTCTGATAACATAGCATTCAAGTTTAACAGATATGAGTTCGGAACACACTACCCTGAATATAGATGTAGCTTTGAAAAAAGTGACAAGAGACTCTGTAAAAATGGCATTGAATGGGAGCTTGATTTGAATATGTCATGGTAAGAATTTTTCTTGATGGATGGCTTAATATTAATGCATAAACATAATAACAATTGATGATATTAGGTTACCATTTGCCGGTTCGATAAGCGCATACTTTGCGCAAAAAGGATCAAACGGAGTTGAACATAAATCATCCCGGATACTCGAAAGATATAGTCGAAAGAGATTATTGATGAAAAGAAAACAAATAGAACCTTCTGATGAATTCAGGAATGAAGTAGAGCAAGCTTTGAATTTGGGGAGTCAAAAGGAGATGCGTGACGCACTGAATAAAGTTTGCGAGAAATATGGGCATTTTTGGGCTCCAACAATACAACTGGGAGGATTGATTATCAAAAACGAGGAAGAGCATAAAGAAACCAATGTTAAATCGACTGGTGGAACTATAGGCATTGATACCACGTCAGGAACAGCACCAATGGAAATAAATGGTGGAATAAATCGGAATAATGAAACGCTGAACCAAAACTTATCAAGCAATTCAGACAAGAATATTACAGTTGTTGGTGGTAATGAGCCAACTTACAAGCGTGAAGAGGATACAGGTATTAAAAGTTTATATTTATGAAAACGAAACTTTTCTAGTTACATGACTAAATTTAGTTTCTCTTCCCTTAAGAACAATGGCTTGAAACACTTGAAGATTGCTTTACCTGGAAGATAGTAGATTATGAAGATGTAGTTCCAATATTTGAAATTTTTGAAGGAACTACACGAAATTCTATTATTGAAGCATTTGGTCCAAGAATATGTTACTATGGGATTAATGTATTGAAGCTTTCAAAAAAGACTTTATATCGTCCACTAATAATCGATACTGATATATGGAAAGGAATTAACCAGCATCAAATTTTTGCAGACGTCATGTGTGATGACAAGGGAGATGCAATATTTGCAGTAAATATTGAAGAAATGGCATTTGGGCCACCATATATATATATTTCCAAAGTTCGGGAAGCTAATTTCAACAATATATTTGGGAAGAGCTATACATTGAAAATAGCCTACATTATCACAGGCTATCCACAATCATTCATCTCCCAAACAATTGATGAATTACCTGTTGAAGTTGATGTTGTTGAAGGAGAAAAGAGAGATGATAAGTTTGTTGCTTCATTGCCAAGGATTTTAAATATTCAAGGTAATCAAAGCATTGTCTTAATTACTTGTTATGTAACACGGCAGACTATGCGATCAACTGGTGCTGGCAATTATATGATATTTGCAATGCACCTTCACAAGGATGATACCACTATTACTGAGGTATGCATTTCTGGTAAGTATATATCTACTACCTTCTATATTTAATTGATATTAGGGTCAACTTCGGACTCATTGTGATGGTTATTTATGTAAAACATGTAACAATAACAAGTCAGTAATATTATCATCTATATTTTATGCATAAAAGCCTGCAGACGTAATAATAACGGTTCTTACAAAATAGAAAAGTTGTCGCAAGAAAGTATTAAAATTGCTTACTGGTACGCATTTTATTACTGTTGAGGGCTTGGTTTTTTTTTTATTGATTACTTACAAGTTAAAATTAATAGTATTATTACAGAAAATAGCGTTTCTGGTGAAATCGAATTCGAACTTAAAAATACCAAAAGGTTTCATACAATACGACCCGAAGCTCTGTTTTCAAATCAAAGATGTAATAGTGTATTTACAAGTACAGTGCTTCCTTCAGAACAATGTGTTCCGGTATTTAAGTTAACTACTAAGAAGCATATACTATACTGTTCTGAACAAAATCGTAGTGATATCTTAGGAAGCTTTATTTATTTCCATCGTGAAATCAATAACGCTTGCGTTAGAAGGCCAGTGTTTTAGTACTTTTCTTAGTAGTCGTTGTCATAAATTATAGTCAAGCACTGGTCAAATGAGAATTCTATTAAATTTTATTTATTTGTTGGATCGCGGGGGGGGGGGGTTTGTTGATAGAGGGCGATCGACAGTACCCCTGACAAAATAAAAATATTTGTTAATTTATACTCCCCTGTAGTAGAACAGGACAAAATTGACAACCGCAAGGTCAATTAGAGTCACCCAACGGCAACATGGCAGGTCGTTCCAAAGAGGCAAAAATGAATATTGATTTAGTTGACGCGAAAGTAGGCGAAGTGGTCACTCGCTTCCCACCAGAAGCCAGTGGTTATTTGCATATAGGTCATGCTAAGGCGGCAATGTTGAATCAGCATATAGCCAAAGAATACAAGGGAAAATTGATTGTTAGATTTGATGACACTAACCCCAGTAAAGAAAAGGTCAGTTTAACGTGGAGACATTTAAACTACAGAACATAGTGGAATATAACCTAACAAGATTAATAATTTCAGCAAGAATTCGAGGATTCTATAAAGGAGGACTTGGCTCTATTGGAAATATATCCAGATCAATGGACATATACATCTGACCACTTTCAGGAACTATATGAATACGCAGTGAAGTTAATCGAGAAAGGATTGGCCTATGTCGATGAAACTGACGTAGAGACGGTACGAAATTGATGACAATGACGATTACATCTATTGGAATGGTGTCACTGATAACAGTCATTTGACAGATGAGATACCAAAGGATGCGTGGAATACCGTCAGCAAATCGTGACCGTTCAATTGAAGAAAACTTGAGACTCTTTAAAGAAATGACTGACGCGACGGAGTTTGTAAGCAACATATAAACTCGTATATTTACTGAGCGCAAAGCAAGAGATCATACAACGCTTATCGCAATTCCATTTTCTTATCGTTATAGGGTCAAACATGCTGTCTTCGAGCCAAGATTGACATGAAGAATCCTAATAAAGCATTGCGTGACCCTGTTTTATACAGATGCAATCTGTTACATCACAATCGAACGGGGTAGGTCTGGTTGAAAGCATTTAGCATACGACAATTAAGATATTAATATGACGCCTTACGAAAGATCTAGCTTAACCTTTTATTGATTTTATAGTGACAAGTGGAAAGTATATCCTACTTACGATTTTGCTTGTCCAATCGTTGATTCGGTTGAAGGAGTAACACATGCAATGAGAACAAATGAATATCGTGATCGTAATCCTCAGTATGAATGGATACTCAATTCATTAGAACTACGAAAAGTTCATATTCGTGATTTCAGGTAACGAGAAAGTTGACTAGACTCTGTTCGACGGGGGCCATCAGTATTTACCTTGCTTGTTTCTCTGGCAGTCGTATGAACTTTGTATATACTCTTTTATCAAAGCGTAAATTACAATGGTTTGTGGACGAAGGTCTTGTAACAGGCTGGGACGATCCTCGATTCCCAACTGTTCGTGGCATTCGTCGTAGGGGATTGACGGTCGAAGCACTGAGGCAGTACGTTTTCACGCAAGGAGCGACGCAGAACGACGTTACGTTAGAGTGGGATAAACTTTGGGCTCTTAACAAAAAGGTCATTGATCCTATTGCACCAAGACACACCTCTATCTTGACTGAAACCATGTGAGTGTGGTATTTTTGAAGCAATTTTATGAGGATATTTAATGGAGTATAATATTAAATTTGATTGTTTTCAGTGTCCGGGCCAAGATTACAGGTGGTCCCGCCGAATCTTATATAAAAGATATGCCTAAACATAAAAAGAACCCCGACGTTGGTACAAAGAAGACCGCCTATAGCTCGGAGATATTCATTGAGCAAGGAGATGCAAAGACGTTTGGACTTGAAGAAGAGGTAATTTAACTAAACATTAGAATCCTGTGGTTTACAGTTATTAGTTTGTGATTATATGATATAGCAACTAAATGTCATCAATAATGTCAAATCTGTGAACGTTGACTTTTAGATTACCTTAATGGACTGGGGCAATGCCATAGTAAAGTCAATCACTAAATCAGAAGACAATCCTGAAATAGTATCGACTATTGAATTGCAACTGCATCTGGAGGGTGATTTTAGGAAGACCAAGAAGAAAATCACATGGTTAGCTGACACCGAACATGTAGCGAAGGTTAAACTGGTTGATTATGATTATTTAATCAATAAGAAAAAACTAGCTGAAAATGATGATGTCAAGGATTTTTTAACGGCGAAGACCGAATTTCTTGACGAAGCGATTACTGACGGCAATGTAAGAGATTTGAAGAAAGGTAATAGTTAATTATGGAATGTGGAAATTGTTCGATTGCATTAGTGTTAGTTTATTAGTATGAATGCATGTTAACGCTCTTTGTCACTGTCATTATAACTAGGTGATATAATTCAATTTGAGAGACGTGGATATTACATATTTGACTCGGATGCATCGTCGGACGATATACGTTTTATTCGTATCCCCGACGGCAAAGCATCTAATGTGGCGTCTAAAGCAAAATAATTGCTGCATAATTTGCAGTAAGCTAAGCACGGCAAAATGTCTTTTTAATGTTTTCCCACAATGCAAGTAAAGAATTATTATTAAGAAGCGCGATCTTGAGATTTCATTATATTAAAAAAGCTTGGTGTTCAGATATTCTAGAACGTTCGTTCAAGACCTTTAATTCTTGTATTCCAAAGTACAAATGCCCAATGGCCTTAATTATGGTTTAACAATTAACAAAGGCAACAGCATCCGCACCGTTCCGACTTATTATTATCCATTGTCGAGAGATAAATTAGAAGGTACCGCTGACAAAGACAGTATAATTTTCAACTTTATTGGTTCATGTATTAATACTCCAATTTTCGGTGAATATTCTTTCTCGTTTGGCCACTCTAGAGAACTTTGGAATCATTTGATTTAAAAGTCTGCGGCATAAGTGATTTTTTGAATATACATTCATTGGGAGGTATCCGGGTTTGACTAATCATTCCCTGTTAATATATCATGAGCCCAACTATTAGCCCTTCGGTTTCATGTAGATGAGATGACATTCGTCAACTGACACTCTTTATTCTTTCAGTATTATGATAGCGATGAAATGTTTAAGTGTATGATTGCCTACACGAAAATATATTATGAAGCCTGCTTTTTCATTTGGATCTTTACCGTTATGTGTTCTTTATAATGCGAGCAGGATTACCATGCGTGTACAGGACACTATTCTATGTTTGGTTTCCTATTCTATTTTATTACCAATATTATCAATCGGGACGTCGAACAATCTACAAAGGATTGTAATATTACAAGGAACTGATCCATTACCGACTATATGACTCGAGGAAAAGTAAAATCAGTCCGCTACGAAATGTGGATATTCTGAATGTAGGCAATCTTGATTCACTCATGACAAATGACAGTCTTTATTCAATGTCCACTTTGACTTTCTTTGCGATTCCTTTGACTTTATTATCGTCATATTCATCATTTTGAACAGCAACATTTGAGCCGTCTATTTTCCTCTTTGCACTATAGCATAATAAACACCCGATGAGAACGTGTTCATCAGCAGTTGTATTGTTGTATCACAAATGAATCTTATATCCTGGCTGAAGAGGATAACCCAGTGCAGTAACCACTCGCTATGAAAGTGTGAGAGCAAAAAGAAATGATTTGATATCAGTAAAGTAGATTACGTCTCATACTTAATATTCGCAAGCCTAACGACTGATACCTTTACAAGATCCTTTTCTGGTTCTTCACTTTTAGAGAAACACTGACAATGTATCATTGGTAATTGGTCATCCGGATTGGTAATAAGCGCTTCTTTGCCTTTGTATATGATCGTTATAAACCACATAAAATTCAATTAATGCAATCAAAATCGAGGTAATCTACCCAATACGTTACCGAGAAACTCGATAGCCGTTGCTGGAAGGTTCATCACGAAATGCTTAAAAGTCTTGAACACAGTTGGTTCTCAACAGGAGATGATGAGTTGGTTGTATTGGGCTGTGAATTCAAAGCTACATGTAAATCATGTATGGCCATTTCAATAAAATTACGACTGTCGAGATTGTATGCTATGAGCTTGCCTTGCAACTATACGAGCAGCATCAGCATTGACATTATAATTGCACAAATAGCACACACAACATTGATCGTATCTACCTTATTAAGCACAACATTCTCTTGCAGATATTATATGAAGCTAGGTTCAGATCGTTTGCATAGACAACGTTTGGCTGCTGCTATTGCATAACGTGAATAACAGACACATAAATAGAAAATAACGCATTACATATTCGTATACGTACAACTTCAGCGAACATATTGTCTTCACCAGCCATTATCTCCATTCGAAAGTTACGAAATGTACTATCGATTATGTCAACTTTATTGACTACGGTCTTGATAGTCGTAATTTTCTATCAATAGTAAAGTGTAAAGTTAGATAAATATTACTCACATACATCAAGAATCACTTGACCAATTATATGTTTCCATGAAAGCCATTCGTCACGTAAGTTCATATGGGCTGTATCAAACAATACGCGCGTAATGTGAAAAGCATGCATGATATTACTTAGTGTACTACTATAATGGCAAACAACGCTTTGATCCAACTCCTCACCTATATGCCCAACTTGTGTAAATGATGATGGCATTTCATCTCCTTCAGGGAGAATGGCCTTCAATATCTCATCTGAGATCAAAAAAGATCGTACACAAGTTATTCTCACAACTTTGTATACATTCCGGCTATAACCAAGCCTGACAGTTACCTACACTCCAATAGTCATAGTTTAGTTTCGAGAGTATGCTTGACAACCTAGACTCTCTACTTCTGTCTTCAATAAATTGATTTTGATGTTGGATCTTCTATAACGTTTCTCAACTTTGGTTGGTTAAGCAGATCGTTGACATATCATCGAGTCAGCCATGATACAACAATATTGTTTCTATACAGTATGTAACCACGATCAACTAATACTAAACTTATTTAACACTTTTAGAAAATTTGCTATTGAGTTTACGGGAACACGTATACCGACGACTTCTCGTTTGAGAGTACATTAGGAGAGTTTACTCACAGATCTTGACAGTACGTCAGTTTGAAGAATTTTTTTAATTAATTAATAATACTATTAATTTCATATTATCGGGTGATTTTATTTACCAAACGTTAATACAGTCAACTCTCTACTCCCTATTCTGCACGTGCAACCGATTATCCCGAGGAGTGATAGTGATTCTAATATAAAGATAAATTCTGTAAATGCACACATGTGACCAGTCTGCATTAGTAGTATAGCGGTAGAATACTTGCCTTCCAAGCGAATAGTCTTAGTTCGACTTCAGCTGATGCAGTATGTCAAGTTGCTGCTTACATCAGGTAAGATATTTAGCGAATCATGGCCTTAGTTCGACCTCAGCTGATACAGTATGTTAAGTTGCCAAACGTGGCCATACATCAGGTAAGATATTTAGCGAATCTACAATCTAAATCCTGATACTTACAGTAAAT